AGACTGCCATTATCATCTAAGCACCCTGGTTGATTCTGGAGGTCAAGGGAGGAAAGCAATAAACTTCCTCCTGGATACCAAGCTACCATTTATGTTCCCTCTCCAAGTCTCCTCTCCTCCCTTAGCATGTCCATAAGGGGCATGTCAGAAAAACCTTTAACCTGATATTTTTTCCACACCCTCAACGGTAGCTGGGAAACTTTTTGTTTATTCATGCCCGCCCCCCCCACTCCCCGGGGCACAGAGTATTTATTTATTTTTTAATTCTTTGCACATTTTATTTATTTATTTATTTATTCTTATAAAGCTGTGGGGTACAATCCAGGGTTATTGTACCCCACAAACATTGATTATGCAGGTACGCTTGTTGATGAGGTATGCTCCTCCCTCCCCTAGCATTTTTAATCATGCCTGAAAGCCTGACTCCTCTGCTAGGTAGGGATATTTTAGCTTGTATGGCAACCATTATCCTTATGGTTCCCAGACAGACTCTTTGCCTTCCTCTGGTGGAAACTGATATTAATCCAGAAGTTTGGACACTTCAGGAAAGAATTGACTGGGCTACAAAAGCCACACCGATCCAAATCTATCTTAGGGATCCTACTTCTTTCCCCAACCAAAACCAGTATCTCCTAAAACCAGAAACTAACAAGGGGCTAGCAACCATTAATAATCTAAAGATGCAGGACCTCCTTAGGCCCTGAAACAGCCCCTGTAATACCCAATATTGGGAATACAAAAATCTGGTAGGGAATGGAGACTAGTCCAGGACCTCCACCTCATTAATGAGACTGTGGTTCCATGAGATCTGGGGGTTCCCAATTCTTATACCTTGCTAACTCAAATACCTGATGAAATAAGTGGTTCACAGTCCTGGACTTGAAGGATGCCTTTTTCTGCACACCACTGCATCCCAATACCTATTTGCTTTTAAAGATCCTTCCAAGCAAACCACTCATTCACCTGGACAGTGCTACTCCAGGGATTCTGAGATAGTTCTCACCTATTTGGGCAGGCCTTGTCATGGGATCTCTCTGAGTCTGACACCCCCAGGTAAAGTCTTGCAATATGTAGATAACCTCCTTTGCGCCACAACTGAGAAGATCTGTCAGGAAGGTAGTAGGGCTCTGCTTAATCTTCTAGCAGATGAAGAATATGTTTCAAAATCCAAGGCTCAGCTTTGTCAAACTTCAGTGAAATACCTAGGCCTAGTCTTAACAGAAGGGATCAGGGCACTAGGTGAGGAAAGGATTAAGCCCATCGCCTCCTTTTCCATTCCAAAATCTCTCGAATAACTGAGGGGATTCTTTGGCTTCACAGAATTCTGTAGATTATGGATACCTGGATACAGTGAAATAGCTTGCCCTTTATATCACCTGGTAAAGGAGCCCCAAGCAGTTGAGACTTACTCCTTCATCTGGAAACCAGAGGCAAAGAAAGACTTTGACCAATCAAAATAAACCTTGGTTTGAAGCATCAGCTCTTAGTTTTCCCATAGGAAAGACATTTAATCTTTATGTATCAGAAAGGAAATGAATGGCCTTGGGAGTTCTAACCCAGACCCAGGGTCCAGTCCAACAGTCTGTAGGCTACCTACTAAGCAAGAAACTTGATCTAGTGGCTAAGGAATGGCTGGCCTGCCTCTGGGCAGTGGCAGCAGTACCTTTGCTGGTACCAGAAGCTACCAAGTTAATAATGTGAAAAGACCTCACTATTTATACCCCACATAATGTGGCAAGACTGCTATCCACTAAAGGAGTCTTTGGCTATAGATAGCTGTCTCTTCAAATATCAGGACCTTCAAATACCTGCAGTCCAGTTAAAAATCTTTCTCTCTCTAAATCCAGCCATCTTCCTCCCCAAGGAAGCTGGGGAACCTGAACATTACTGTGAACAAAAAGTGGTGCAAACTTATGCAGACAGAGAAGACCTAAAGGAAACTCCCTAGAAATCCCAGACTAAATTCTTTTTACCAATGTAGAACAAGGGATTCATAAGGAAGGATATGCAGCAGTTACCCTAAGTGACATAATTGAGAGTGGTTCTCTCTTCAAACACAAGTGCTCAACTAGTTGAGTTGATTGCCCTTACAAGGGCACTTGAATTCAGTAAAGAGAAAACAGTTAACATTTATACTAAGTATGCTTTCTTAGTTCTCTGTGCCCATGCCACTATTTGGAAAGAGAGACACTTCCTCACAGCTAATGGGTCTCCCATTAAATAGCATCAGGAAATTTACAGACTATTGTCCTTGATTTTCAGGGGACAGATGACATAGCTGAGGGAAACAGATTAGCAGACAAAGCAGTCAAGTTGGCAGTAAGAAGACCCCAGATTTCCTATGCACTTGAGGCCCCTCTAATCTGGGAATGCCCTATAAGAGAAACAAAACCTCAATATTCCCCTGCAGAAATAAAATGAGCTGCTTCATGGGGATATACCTTTCAGACTTCAGGATGCCTGCAAACTCCATTTGCCAATTTCCAGCCAATGGAAGGTTCTTAAAACCCTCCATCAAGCCTTTCACTTCAGAAGGAACAAAACTCTTCCATTAACCCAAAGGCTGTTTTCAGGTAAAAATCTGCAAGTGACAGTCAAACAAGGTGCTGATGCTTGTGAAATGTGCCTTAAAAATAACCTCAATAGTCAGATTCTTCCTGCCAGAACACAGAGAATGGGAAGCCACCCAGAGAAAGACTGGCCAATAGACTTCATACATATGCCAAAAACAAGGGGCATCCAGCTTCTTTTGGTATGGGTAAATATTCACTAGCTGGGTAGAATTATTCCCATGCTGGACAGAGAAAGCCTCTGAGGTGAAAAGAGTACTAATCGATGAAATAATTCCTCGCTTTGGACTTCCTAAATACCTCCAGAGCGATAATGGCCCCTCATTCAAAGCGGCTGCCACCCAGGGGTGTCTCAAAGTCATTAGGCATACAATATCATCTTCATTGTGCTTGGCGGCCACAATCCTCAGGAAAGGTAGAGAAGACGAATGATACCAGCAAAAGATATTGCAAAACCTGTCACAAGAGACTCTTCTCTCCTGGACTACTCTTCTTCCCATAGCTCTATGCACAAGGAACACACCATCAAAACTGGGGTTAAGCCCCTTTGGAATAGTATATGGACAGACTTTCCTAACCAATGATCTCTTGCTAGACAAAGAGACCTCTGACTTGACCAAACATATCACTTCCCTGACCCATTTTCAGGAAGGACTAAAACAACTATTGGAAGTCCAATCCCGAGAACTAGGGCCACTCCCTATTCAACCCGGGAAATTTGGTACTGGTGAGGGCTCTTTCTTCTCTCTCCCCCTTTGGGTCCAGACTGGGAGGGACCCTACACTGTTCTTCTCTCCGCTTCTTCAGCAGCAAACGTCACCAGAATAGACTCTTAGATTCATCATACTAGACTGAAGACCTGGGATACAGGTGAAATCACTTCCACTGACCTAGAAGGACACCCAAACTACCAATGTGAAGACATCAGAGACCTCAAGCTAAAGATCGTAAAAGATAAGTGACAATGATTAACCTTCTGTGGATCTTCTCCTTATACTTTTTTCACCTAATATTTGTTTTTGCTTTTGTTTTAATCTGCACAGTTAACACCTTTTCCAAGGACCCCTTAACCCTGAATGCCCATGGGATAATCTACTTCCTTAGACAGTCATCCCTTTTACCTCTTTCATAAAGGTTCTCACATGGGAATGAGCAAAATGAGTCTATTTTACTTCCTATTTTTGTCATCTCTGGCCCCAGTTTCTTATAAGCACTCCCTGTCTCCCTCCATTATGTACCTGGCTCCAAGGGGTAATTATTCAAATTGCTGGATATGCCCACAGGGGGGACCTTCTCTAACTCCCCCCCTAATAGCTCTACTGCTGTCTCTTAAGCAGATTTGAAATCTCAGCCGGGTTTGGTGGTTCAGCCTGTAATCCCAGCACTTTGGGAGGCCGAGGTGAGTGGATTGCCTGAGCCCGCGGGTTCGAGATTCGCCTGGGCAACTTGGTGAGACCTTGTCTCTACATCAAAAATTAGCCAGGCGTGATAGCACGCACTTATAGTTCCAGCTACGTGGAAGGCTGAGGCAGAAGGATTACTGGAGCCCAGCAGGTCGAGGCTGCGGTGGCCAGGAGCATGCCACTGCACTCCAGTCTGGGCGACTCAGTGAGACTCCAACTCTTAAAAAAAAAAAAGAAAATCTCAGTGGTTCTTTTTTGTTAATTATATATTTTTTATTTTAAAAATGTGAGGTACAATTTAGGGTTAGGTATACAAATGTTCATCACACATGTACCTTTGTTGATGAGGTGTGTCCCATCTCCTGGCAGATTCCCACTACCACCAATCCTGCCCTCGCCCTCCCCTTGCAGTTTCCCACCACTGCCATTCTTTTTCTCATAGTATTATAATTGTTCAAGGTCCACTTATAACTGAGAATATGTGAAACTCAGTTCTTTGTGCTTGTGATAGGTTACTCAGTATTACAGATTCAAAGTCCATCCAGGTTGCTGTGAAGTTCATAATTTTGTCCTTCTTTATGGCTGTGTAATATTCCATCGTGTATATGTACCACATTTTTTAATCCAGTCCTCTTTCCATGGGCAGCATGGTTGGATCCATGATTTTGCTATTGTGAACAATGCTACAATAAACATACGTGTGCAGATATCTTTTTCATAGAGTGATTTGAGTTCCTCCGGGTGTATTCCCAGTAGGGGGATTGCAGGGTAGTATGGAAGGTTGATTTTTAGATCTTTTAGAATCGCCAAACTGTTTTCCACAGAGATTGCATTAGTTTACACTCCCACCAACAATGTAGAAGTACCCCCTTTTTGTCACATCTTCTCCAGTATCTGTTGTTTTTTAAATTATTGATTATGGCCATCCAGACTGGAGTTAGTTAGTATATCAGAGTGGCTTTAATTAGCATTTCTTTAATGACTAGTGTGGCTGAGCATGTTTTCATGTATCTGTTGGCTGCTCACATGTCTTCTTTTGAGAAGTGTCTACTCATATCTTTTGCTCACTTTGTAATGGGGTTGTTTGGTTTTTCTTGGTATGAATTCACTGCCCTAAAAAGAGTGGCGAAACCCAACCAGAGAACCCCTCGAGTTGAAAAGGCCTCAATTCAAATTGGAGAGGATGTCCTGCCCCTCTCCTCTCAGACGCGCCTAGGTCACAGCTTCTTAGGATATGCCTGCTTGCCCCCAATTTTCTTCTTGCAATGAGAACCTCGACATGTGGCTCCTTTCTTTTTCTCCTTTTGGAAGCTCCCAGTGCTACAACCATTCCCAGGGATACAGGCGCTAGAAAGACAGCCCTGTGGTCATGACGTATAATTTGGGCGCTGGGGCAAAAAAGACTTTTTTTTTTTTGCATCCGATTCCATCACTTCTGCTACGCTTAGCGGGGCTCGTGGAAGAAACACGTGCGTCGCTGAATGGAGCTGGTCGCTGGTTGCTATGAACAGGTCCTTTTTGGATTCACTGTACACCGAGAGCCCGAGAAATGGACTCCTGTAGCTGACTTCAATCACCATGCCCACACTGCCTCCCTGTCAGCAGTAGCTGTAAATAGTCGTTTCGTAGTCACTGGGAGCAAAGATGTAACAATTCACATTTATGACATGAAAAAGAAGATAGAGCATGGGGCTCTCATGCATCACAGTGGCACAATAACTTGCCTGAAATTCCATGGCAACAGGCATTTAGTCAGCGGAGCAGAAGATGGACTCATCTGTGTCTGGGATGCAAAGAAATGGGAATGCCTGAAATCAATGAAAGCTCACAAAGGACAGGTGACCTTCCTTTCCATTCATCCATCTGGCAAGCTGGCCTTGTCTGTCGGCACAGATAAGACTTTAAGAACATGGAATCTTGTGGAAGGAAGATCAGCATTCATAAAAAATATAAAACAAAATGCTCACATAGTGGAGTGGTCCCCTAGGGGAGAGAAATATGTAGTTATCATACTGAATAAAATAGACATCTATCAGCACGACACAGCATCCATTAGTGGCACCATCACAGATGAAAAGAGAATTTCCTCTATTAAATTTCTTTCAGAGTCTGTCCTTGCAGTGGCTGGAGATGAAGAAGTTGTAAGGTTTTTTGACTGTGATTCACTAGTATGCCTCTGTGAATTTAAAACTCATGAAAACAGGGTAAAAGACATGTTCAGTTTTGAAATTCCAGAGCATCACGTTATTGCTACAGCATCAAGTGATGGTTTCATTAAAATGTGGAAGGTGAAACAGGATAAGAAAGTTCCCCCATCTTTACTCTGTGAGGTAAACACCAATGCCAGGCTGACATGTCTTGGAGTATGGCTAGACAGAGTGCCAGACATGAAAGCAAGTCTTCCTCCAGTTGCAGAGCCTGCTGTAAGTAAAATCAGTCCAAAATCAGCAAAAAGGAATCTGGAGACTTAGTGCAGGAAGAAGAAAAACAGTCAAAACCTAACACAAAAAAATGTGAGTTAACTGGTGATAGTAATAAACAAACAAAAGGAAATAACCTGGTATCGACCAAGAAAAGGAAAATGGTATAGAAATATTGGAAAAGAAGAGAAAAAAGAAGAAAATATAAATGATGTCCTGAATCCCAGATACCATCTACGAGAACTCCTTTTAGATGGAATCATTATTTTCAAATATACCTAAATATTTTTTTCTGAGTAAAAGCAAGGAATTTCTTTTAGAGGAAAAATTTAAAAGCACTTTCAAGTGTATTTTTAAAAAATTTTAACAGTGGTGTCAGATACGGTGGAACACACCTATAATCCCGCACTTTGGGAGGCAGAAGTGAGAAGATTGCCTGAGCCCGTGGATTCAAGACCAGCCTGGGCTATATGGTGAGACCTCATCTCTACAATAAATCAAAAAATTAGCTGGACATGGTGGCACATGCCTGTAGTTCTAGCTACCTGGAAGTCTGAAGTGGAAGGATTTCCTGAGCATAGAGGGTTGAGTGTGCCACTGGCCTTCAGCCTGGTTGACAGTGAGACTTCAACTCAAAAAAGAAAAAAAAAGTGGTAAAATTACTTTTGGTAGACTGTTTTATAAATTATATATCGTGGTGATATATGTTAATGTATAATATGTAATTTTTACTTTGTGCAAAACAAAGATCTTTCTCAAAATATTAAAATAATATAAAATCTTGAACACATTCTTTAAAAAAAACAAAACAAACGAACAAACAAAAATAAATGAATAGATAAATAAAATTGGAGAGGTGGCAGGGATGTGGGAAATTGCTTCTCTCTGCTTTCAATTGCACCTGGAACTATCCTGGGTGGGATGGCTTTCCCCCAAGTACTATAATGAGACTTCACATCACCAAAATAGAACCTTTCTTTATAAAATTAGAAACAGGGTGTTTGCAGAAAGAAGGTAGGGGGAGAATGGGTCCTAGCCCATTATATACAAAGATCCTAATATCACCAGATTCTCTGACCAGAATATGCAACCATGAATACATCTGATTGTCATGGCTTAATAAATTGCATTGACACCTGCCACCATATCATCAGCCCCTTTGGCTACCTCATCCTAATTTGTCAACACACTGGGAATTACTGAAAACCGGGGTATATGGAACACTTCCCATTATGCCACTCACCCTGGAAATATCCTCTCTAAACATTTCCAGGGCACAATCTGTTCATCTAACCCTCATCATCATGCCTACAGAACCCATACATATGATGGGACAGTCCCCTGGTAAAACACCAAATGAAAACAGCTGGGGTTACCAAAGATTTTCCTCATGACTGTTCCCACAAGCCTGACAAACTGGAAGGAACCACAGACACTGGGATGCTCTTCCCATTTGGAACCATCGGGGCACCTTCCTTAACTGGAACTGGGTATTAATTTGTATGTGGTAATGGGTTATAGTTGGTTTTACCCTACTGATGGAGAGGTGCTTGCACAATAGTGGCTGCTGTCCCTAATGTGATGATACTCAGTCAGGCTCAAATGGCTTCCCCTGGACAAAAGATTTAGGATCTTTTCTGGCATGATCCCTATGGTGACAATGACATTTCAGAGATTTGGGGTTTCTGTCCTGCACTAACATGCCTAACTATGATATATAACTATGATATAATCTAGGGGGCCATGTCCATGACAACATAACTTTACAAAAACCTGGAATAGAACACTCAATTATCAGAGGTTTCTTTTGGTTTGCTGGGATACCCCTACTAGAAAGATCTATTTTAAAACTGACTCTCACAGTGCAACAAGGATGGAAAGCCACAGTAGCTGCTATCGAGAATCAACACATGTCCATTAACTCACTAGCTACTGTGGTCCTACAGAACTGTTGAGTATTGGATGTGCCCTGGGAGAATGCAAAGGAACATGCGTATTCTTTTTTTTTCCCTTTGAGTTGGAGTCTCACTCTGTCACCCAGGCTGGAGTGCAGTGGCATGCTCAAGGCCACCACAGCCTGTACTTGTTGGACTCAGGTGATCCTTCCACCTCAGCCTTCCAAATAGCTGGAATTACAGGCATGCACTAGAAAATGCGCATTCTTAAATGAAACTTCTTGTTTTTGGATAAATACCTCCTCCCAGGTAGAAAAAAACCTGTAGGTCACAAAAAATATCAAAATTATTGATACTTTACAGGTGGGCTCAGGCCCTAGTGGGCTACAATCCTTCCTATCCTCTGTGGATCTTTCCCTTGATATCTCCTTTTTTTGGTATTCATATTTGGTCCATGCATAATTAATCCCCCATGTAAAATTTGTTTCTTCTCACCTAGAGGCAATACAATTCCAGATGGTCATGCAGATGGAGCCTCAAATAGTAACTCTTTCTTTCTAGGGACCTTTAGATCGTTCTCTGGAGGGTCCCTAGCTGCCATTCTCAAATGATGCCCATGATCAGCAGGAAGTAGCCAGATTGGTCACTGCCCCTACTCCCTAATGGCAGTTAGAGTCACTATTCTAGGATAATGAGAAAGGAGGAAGAAACTGACCAGGCCGATAGGGAGGGTCCCTGGTAAAGCCTCCTCAAACCAAGAACAGTCTGACACCTGAAGAACCAAGCTGCAAGTTCCAGATAAAATCCATGATCAGAATGAAAGCTCCCATCCCTTTTTGGCATGCTCTCTCCCGACTGGCCCTCATTCTATTCTCTCCCAATTGGTCTCTTACACCACTATACCTCTTTTGGATGGTACATTTTCAAGCCTACCCACCAACCAACTGGCACACAATTCCCCCTTTCGAGTCCATAAAAATCCCTGAACTCAGCCTCATCACTGGCAACCCTCTTTCGGAGTCCCCTCTTGCTACCAAGAGCTTTCCTTTTGCTTAATGAACTCTGACTTACTCTTCAGTGACCACGCTCTTTATTCTTCTTGGTAGTGAGACAAGAACCTGGAACTTGCCAAACTGACAGAGCAGTAACAACACGAACTTGGAAAGCATTTAGATCTATTTACTTAATTCATGAGTACATATTAACTTATAAGCCAATTTTGTAGCACACTAGACAAAAAATATAGCATACACCTACATGCAAACATATTCAAACATACATACATGCACACAAAGATTTAACAGTCTTTACCTCCGAACTCTTCGAACTCCAGCCATGAAACAGCAACAAACTCACCATTTTACAAAAGACATCCAATTCCAAATTATATTTCTGACAAAATTGGAACCTGTTTGCATGGCTAACCTTCATTTGCCCTGATAGTCCAATAACGGCTGTGGAACAAAACTCGGCAAAGCAGTTTCCACAGCAGTTTAGTTTTTAAAACCTTTTATTTCCTTCAGTTTTAAATAAGTTTTTAATATTTACATTTTAGTTAGAACAGGTTGAACTGTATTAAAAAAAACCCCAAATTTTCATTTAACCTTTAAGTAGCAAGCTTATATTAACAGCAATTGCTCAGTTACTAGCAAATTCAAAGCAAGCAGAAAAGAAAGAGAGACATATATAGAGCTTAGAAGCCTCTATTTAACCCTATAGTTGTAGGTTAACTATTTGAGCCCTGACATTTCCTAGTTATAGTTTTCCCTTTAGCTTTAAAATGCACATAACCTTAGGCTTTAATATTTAACCAGTTGGAGTTTCAGAAAACCTGGCATGCTTTTGAACTTTTTTTAAAAGACTAACAGCAAAACAAAGATATCAAATGAAAGTACATACATGAACAACATGCACTAGTAAAGTTTTTCAAGATATAGTGACCAAAACTCTGGGGATACAAATACAAACACCAAAGGATAACCGATAAGCAATCCTTAAGGAAGAGAAGATGCACATCAACCAAATTTGCAAAAATATGACACGTCTCAAAATCAAGCCAGCAAGCTTTCAAATACAAACACAAGGATATTCCCAAAACACTAATGGGTCAGTTCAGCATTCCTCTGGTATCTGGGATTGGTTTCCGCAGCTGTTTCCCCGATTAGGGCATGTGTTAATGATCACTTTAGCCTTTGTCTTTGGATCTTGCTTAGTAAACCTCTTGACTAAATTTGTTCCTTCTGGCATAGAGGCTGTGCAATTATAAATAGTGCTGCAGCAAGGCTTCTGTCCCTTCCCAGATTCAGAAGATGCCATGTCTCCTTTGGATCAGATAAAATGAGAATTCTGTGGTTCCCAAATAGGCAGGGTAAATACCCCTCTTCAGCAGAAAGAAGCTGCAGATGAATGACCCCCCTGCACCTCTGCATCCTATAAAGATTTATGAGGATCATGTCTCTCAGGGGAAAAATGAAGCAGTGAGACAGAAGGGGAAAAAATGGATAGGCAGACAAATTAGGGAGGGTCCCCAGTAAAAACTTCCACTGCAAGCCCCACCTACCCGAGTGAGAACACCTATTCCTTGGTCTGTGGACTTCCCCTTTTGAGCACTTCTTTCTTATTGGTGCATTTTTCGAGCTTGCCCCACCAACCAATCAGCATGCTCTCAAGACTATATAAACCCCTATCCTCAGCCACATTGCCAGCAACCCACTTCCAGGTCCCCTCTTGCCGCCAAGTGTTCCTCTATCTTCTAATAAACTCCAACCTGCTCACTCTCCTGTGTCTACACTGCTTATTCTTCTCGGGTGTGAGATAAGAACACTGAATCTGCTAAACTGGAAGAACTATAAACACATCTCTGGAGCTTGGGTTGCTGGTCTGCTGAGTTGAGAGAGCTGCAACACTACTTGGGGGCTTGGCTCACTGGCCCACTGAATTGAGAGAGTGGTAACACTCCTTGGGGCTCCACAGCTGCTGACCTCTTTGAGTGTTGGGCGCTACCACATTCCCTTCTCCAGATGCTATTACGTCCTCAGCCACCTCGTGGATCTCAGGCTGACAGTAAAGCGCCAGTAACTGCAAGTTGGGAAGCCTGATTCTCCTGAACAAGAAAAAACTGTATCAGCAGGATATAGGATGGCTCGTGGAAGGCAACCTCACAGACAAGAAGCCATGGGAACAGAATAGAAAGTATACAATTGCTGCGTTAATCAACCTCCAAGGACAGAATATATGCAGGAAGGAAACCATTGACTGAAACATCAATTAACCTGCCAGGACACAACATTAGCAGCATCTCTTCCTAAAACAA